CTCATGTGGGAGGAGCAGGCAAGGTGCTGTAGGAGATTTCATGCACTGTGACAGGCTGTGCCCATGGGGGAGGAAGGAGGCCCATGGGATTGACTAAAGATGCTGCTTAGCATGATCTCCTGCTAGTGCTGAGGAAGCTGAGGGCAGGATCCAGCTGGGAGATTGGTAACTCCACTCTGAAGAATAGCTTCCAAGAACTTGGAGGTTTCCAACCCCAGTACGTGGGTAGAGCATAGGTTTTAGAGTTGGAAGGACCTGGACCCATGTCCCAGCTTCCCCATCTGATAGATAGGTGGCTTTGAGCAACTTACTCAGCCTCACTGAGAGTCCGTTTCCTTGTCAGTAAATGAGAGTAATATTAGTACCTCTGCTATTACAGGGTTCTCGTGAAGACTAAATGAGATGAGAGCATGTGTGTCCATAGTGCTGGCACCGTGTCACCTCTTTGTAAATATCAGCGTTATCATTAGCAGGTGGCAGGGGAGGGTTATGAGTTCTTTTCAGATAGGCTAAGTTGGGGTAACTGTAAGATCACCTGATCACAGGCATCTGTCAGGCACTTGGCAATGAGGATTTGGAGCCTAGGAAAGAGATGAGAGCTGGTGATAAAGATTTGGGTGTCACCTGTAGACAGATGATTACCTAGGAGTAGATCAATCATCCAGGAAGAAGGTGAAGGAATAGCTAAGGCAAGGTCCTTGAGGAACCCTTGAGGAGGAGGACAAGTAGAAAAGCCAGAGAAGCTTTTAGAAGAGGCTAAATGCAAAGACATTCTGCAGGGCCACCCTGAAGGGCTGAGGCATGGGAGAAGGCAGGCCGCTGACTCTCAGCTTCAGCCTCACCCATTCTCCTGCCCCAGGTCTGTGACAGCCTTGGGCGGCGACACTTGTCTACCTGTGCCCTCTGTGACTTCTGCTCCCTGAAGCTGGAGCAATGCCACTCAGAGGCCAGCCTGCAGCGGCAACAATGTGACACTTCCCACAAGACACCCTTTGTCAGCCCCTTGCTTGCCTCCCAGAGCCTGTCCATTGGCAACCAGGTACCTAGCCCGGCAGCCTGCAGTGGGAGAGGCAGAACTGGGTGGCGGGAGTGGGGTGGGAGGAGGCCAGCAGGAGGGGAGGGGCATGCTTCTCTCCCCTATCTCCTGTGCCACAGGTAGGGTCCCCAGAATCAGGCCACTTTTACGGGCTGGATTTGTACGGTGGGCTCCGCATGGACTTCTGGTGTGCCCGGCTTGCCACGAAGGGCTGTGAAGATGTTCGAGTCTCTGGGTGGCTCCAGACCGAGTTCCTTAGTTTCCAGGATGGGGATTTCCCCACCAAGGTCAGAGCCTTTCCCCAAAGCTCAGCCCCATCCCCACCCTCACCCCATTCCTTGCAATTACTTGCTGTGGGTAGCCCTAGTTTGTGGAAGGGGGCTTGGGCCCCTGGCTTCTGAGAACCAGTCCTCACTGAATGTCCTGCCTCTCTCCAACAGACTATTGCACCCCCCCCCACCCTCCACCAATAGAGCAGGCAAAGGAGTGGGGACCTGGAGGGCTGAGAAAGCACAGGAGCTAGAGGTTCTGGTCCCAGCTTTGCCAGTTGCTTGCTGAGTGGCTGTGATCAAGTCACTTCCACTCAACCAAAGTTAATCATCTCTACAAGAAATGACTGACACGTGCACCACTGCCCAACCCTGTAATCCAGGACTTCCTGGCCTCAGCCTGACGGGCTCTTCCCAGCTCTTCCAGTGCCTTCCCTGCTCAGTAAAATCAACTTGGCTCCCCATTCCCCTGCTACCTTCCCTGTGGCATGACCTGTTGTTGCCAAGAGCCAGGCCTCTCCTTCTGTAGTTAGCAGGAAAAACTAAGGCAAGGAAAAGTAAGGGCAGCTGAAGCAAGTAGCTGAGCTGAGGGGCCCATGTCCAGCTCTGGTCCCTAGGCCCCTTGATCTGGAATGGGCAGGCGAGGTCCAAAGAAGGAAGTGACTCACCACCATCACACATTGGAGATTCTCTTCCTCCTTCCCTCATCTACCATTACCAGAAAAATCCTTGACATCAGGCCACTAATTGGGTCCCTGTCCCATGTTCTGGACCCTTATCTGCCCCGTCCTGCCCCATTCCCACTTCCTCAGCCACTTTCGCAGTAAGCTGACCAGCAGCCTCGTACTCTCCCAGGCTCCTGGCTTCTTCCCAGCAACCTGTGACAGAATGGGAGGGGAGAGGCAGAGGGAAAGCAGAGTGAGGGGCCACCTATGTGTGGAAGGCCTGGGTCTTGGGCCACACCCTGCCCCTGGCTCTGTCCTAGCAGGTACCCCCTGGAGTACTGCTGTCCGGTGAGGCTTCTGATATCCCCTTCTCTCTCCCTGGCTCTTGGCTTAGATTTGTGACACAGACTATATCCAGTACCCAAACTACTGTTCCTTCAAAAGCCAGCAGTGTCTGATGAGAAACCGGAATCGGAAGGTGAGCACCTCTACCTTGCCCCTCCTTCTCCCAGCACCCCCTCAATCAGTCACCACAGTTGGTCTATTCTGAGGCCCCCTCTGCGAGCAGCTAGGATGTGGAAAGCGCTTCCCTGCTTGCATCTTTGGGGCAGAGGCCTCCACCAGCAGGCTGTCCTCCATTCCTCCAGTCCTGGAGGAAGCAAGGCCCTCCCAGGCAGGTGGTGGATAACAGAGGAGGGCCCTGAGAGCACCACAGGAAGAACCCTCAGCTGGGCTGGGAATTGGATGTTTTTGAGATCTCGGTCTTGGTCTGTCTCCTGTTCTTACTCACCCAGTAGCCTGGGACGAGGCACTTCCCCCGCTGAGCCTCAGCTGCCTGTTTCTGCAGGAAAGGGGTTGGGCTGCTTGATGTCTCCTCTGGCCTTAAAAAGCCACATTTGAGTTTCCTCCTTCCCTCTACTGCCCTGTGCCCATGCCTGCCCACCTCTCTCTTTTGGGTTTCTGACACCTCCCCTCCTCCCCACTCCTGGCGCCTGGCTCTGTGATACAGACTGTCTGCCCTGAATCCCTGTGCAGGTGTCCCGCATGAGATGTCTGCAGAACGAGACTTACAGTGTGCTGAGCCCTGGCAAAAGTGAGGAAGTTGTGCTTCGATGGAGCCAGGAGTTCAGCACCTTGACTCTAGGCCAGTTCGGATGAGCTGGCATCTCGTCTGTCTGCACCCCAGCCCAACCTGCCCACATTCTCTATTGTTTGTAGACCCCATCTGTCGGTTTGCTTTCAGGCTGCCCCTTCTGGGTCTGTTACTCGGCCCCTGCTCACATTTCCTTGGGTTGGAGCAGCAGTCCCAGAGAGGGCCACAGCGGGAGCTGCGCCCTCCTTCAAAGATGACTTTACATAAAGTGTTGATCTTCAGCCTGTGTGGCCTATTGTGGTTGGGATCCCCATCCTCAGCACTGCTACCCTGCTCCGTGGCAGTCAGTCCCCAGACCCCGGTTTGATGGACCCACTTGCCGGTGAGAGAATCTCATAGGAATGGTACTGAGGGAAGCGGCCATCTGCCAGGAGGAGCGGAAGACCTGAGAACCCAGAGACGTGAACTGAGGAAGGCCAAGAAGGCTGGGGCCCTGAGGATGATGTGGGCACGAAGGCAGGTGTGTGCGTTCATTTCTGAAGCCCTAAGCCCTATGATGTCAGATGCAAGTGTAGTATTGTTCCTCTGTAGGGTAAAGGCCAAAGCCTGATGAGACCTTGTCCAAAGGGACCAATCCTGGGTTATAGGGAGGGTGTAGCTTGCACTTTATGAGGAAGGGAAGAACCAGGAACTACAGCCTAGATCAGGAAACCTTGGGGCTGTTTTGTTGTTGTTGTTGATTTGTTTTTGTTTTTGTTTTTGAGACAGGGTTTAACTCTGTCACCCAGGCTGGAGTGCAGTGGCGTGATCACCACCCACTGCAGTCTCCACTTCCTAGGCTCCAGCCATACTCCTACCTCAGCCTCTCAGTTACCTGTGACCACAGGAATGTGTCACTATGCATGGCTAATTTTTAAAATTTTTTGTAGAGATGGGGTCTCTCCATGTTGCCCAGGTTGGTCTCAAACTCCTGGGCGCAAGCAATTTTCCCAGCCTGGCCTCCCAAAGTGTTGGGATTACAGGAAGGAAACCCAAAGTGTTGGGATTACAGGAAGTCCAGGAATTTGCCAGATGATCCAGATGTTTAAGTGGTTGCATCTTAACCACCTACATTGAGGTATGACTCCAGCACTGGCCTTTAATGACTTGAAATATCCCAAAGTATGTTCCAGGGACACTGTAGAGTCTCTCTCCCTTCTGTAGGTTCATGGTAATTAACAGCATTTTGTTAAAGCTCACTTACTCTGAGAGTTCAAACATGCACAAAAATAGAAAAGTACAGGCCGGGCGCGGTGGCTCAAGCCTGTAATCCCAGCACTTTGGGAGGCCGAGACGGGTGGATCACGAGGTCAGGAGATCGAGACCATCCTGGCTAACATGGTGAAACCCCGTCTCTACTAAAAAATACAAAAAACTAGCCGGGCGAGGTGGCGGGCGCCTGTAGTCCCAGTTACTCGGGAGGCTGAGGCGGGAGAATGGCGTGAACCCGGGAGGCGGAGCTTGCAGTGAGCTGAGATCCGGCCACTGCACTCCAGCCCGGGCGACAGAGCGAGACTCTGTCTCAAAAAAAAAAAAAAAGAAAAGAAAAGTATAATGCACCCTCTTGTACCCTTCACCCAGTTTCCATTGTCAACACGAGGCCTGTCATTTCACAGCATGTTAAAGGCCCTCTAGAGCTCAGTAATAGAGAAACGTGTTTAACCTATAGCTGCCCAAACTCACTTCACCACAATCCCTTTTCCGCCTGCCACCAAAACACTTGAACTTGTTTCTGTTTAGTGAGCATAGACAACATGCCCAGCCCCGTGCCTACAGGGCCCCTTGTCTCTGTGTCCCCTGTCCCAAGGACACAAGACAAGGGGCTGAGGAGAAACAGACCTAAGCAAAGAGGAACCATCCCGCCTAGTGACTGCTCCATGCAGGAGCCAAGTGTGCTCAGTGGGAAGCAGGACCTAGCAGAGCACTGTCATGCAGAGGGCCCCGGGCAGGGTGGGGCACAAGCCACTAGTGGCATGGGCTAAACCACCTGGCAGACCCAGGAGAGGAAGAGAGACACCCAGGGGGAACCGGTGAGGACAGCGAGAGGCTGGTGGGTTAGTCATCTGGCATCAGACGGTGGGTGTGCCAGGAAGAGCTCCCAGACACAGCAGGAATATCTGAACGATGGGTGGGGGCAGTTCCCAGTCAGCGAGAGTCGGGGCTGGATTAAGTATCCTTAGCTGCTGGGGTTTTTCTCTGGCCAGTCTGGGAAGGCCTCTGAGGGCAATTCCTCTTCACTCTGTCCTTGGCCCATGTGGGGTTGGGTGAGTGCACTGAGCTGGGAGGGATGTGCTGAGATCTGCTGAGGTGGGTGTGCCCCTCCCACCCAGAGAGCAGGTCCTACCAGCCCAGCCCAGCCCAGAGCAGACAGCGGAATCCAGCTTGGGGCAGCGCAGAGCAACACGGAGCACAGGTATGGGGGTGTCACGAATTGAACTGCACAGGGAGCACAAGGGGAAGCAGCCCCCTGGAGAAATGGGGGACTTGGGTGGGGTACAGAGACGAGGGTGGGCATGGGCCCTGGAAAACCCTTCTGAACAGAGTAAAAAGCCGAAAGGACTTGCCTCAAATAGATCTTTTCAGATGGAGCTGGACAAACAGCTAACATGCCTGCTACACCCCAGGGGTGCCCCTTTTTGACGCTTGAAGACCCCACTCTGGGCCATCTCGCAGAGGCTGTGTCCTCCCCCTCCCCCTCTAGGCCCCCACTGTGGTACTGAGCCCTGGGCTTCCCAGGGAGGACCCTCTGGGGACTGTTTACACCCTTTTTCCACTTCCAGTTAAACCTCAACCCCTACACCACTCATCCTCCAGGGCCAGGCAGATGCCAATGGGCTGATCTAATCAAACTTGTTAATGGGTTGACTGGCACAGACGTGTTCGCGGTGTTCTCCTTCCCAGCTAGCCAAGGTGCACCGCACGGGGCCTTCAGGAAGTGCTGCCTTAACCCAAAAGCTGCATCTAATAAGGGATTAGACTGATGGTCTTCGATGTCCCTATGGCTCTGACAGACTGCGGCTTGAGGGGATGGAATTTTGGAGGTGGGGGACGTATTTGGAGGTCAGCAGGGCTTTATGATACCTTTGCATCACACCATGAGGATGGGGCCTACCTGTTACCCGTGGTTGTAGGGCTCCCATGACAAGAAGGGGACCTCCACCAGATTGTATCTCCAGAACTACTCCTTTTGTTCTTTTTCTCTTTCTTTTTTTTTATTTTGAGACACAGTCTCCCTTTGTCACCCAGGCTGGAGTGTAGTGGTGTGATCTCAGCTCACTACAACTTCCACCTCCTGGGTTCAAGCAATTCTCTGCCTCAGCCTCCCGAGTAGCTGGGATTACAGGCATGCACCACCACGCCTGGCTAATTTTTGCATTTTTAGTAGAGACAGGGTTTTACCATCTTGACCAGGCTGGTCTTGAACTCCTGACCTCGTGATCC